TTATGCTATATTGCTCTTTTCGTTTATATTTTTATAATATTTCGGTCCGTAAATAATATTGTTTACATGGCTAGTGTCGTTACTTTAACATATGGTTTATATCGATAATTTTAATATTTAAAAATATATTAATTATTTTAGATTACCAAAAGATGAAACAAAAGAGGAAAATGGCCGAGTTACATAGAAGCAGAAAATATTAAATGTAATGAAAAAGTTACTTTTATCTGCTCACTTCATTTTAGGGAAAGTTGTTTGAATCGAACTTTAAATATAATAAAATTACGAGATGATGCATTGCCAATCAAATACTCTGGTAAGAATTTTTGACAATTGCTTTTAACTTATTTAAAAAAATGTCTATTTCACTTAGTTAATTTTCATTTGATTTCACTGATTTATTTAGTTTTTTATATAGTCATTTTGTTATTCTATAAATATACCTTATTTTTAGTCTTGCGGTCATATGACGACTATTTTAATTGAAAAAAAATCAGAATGCAATATATAATAATATTAAAATATAAAATTCTGATCATAATATACTCCCAGTAAAATATACAATAAAATGAGTTAAATAATTTAATAAAAATTAAAATATGCACACTTATCAAATTAAAGGCATAGTTAAAGGTTTTCTTTGCTGTTCAATAGTATAATCTTAATACCCAAATAATTATTTTGCGGCGTGGATGTTTATTTTGCTGATGCATCATAAAATACGCTACCTTTTTGAATTTTAATTGCTGACCGTTATCATGATTGTTCACAGAACATGAATCGCAGACTGTTTTAGTGCTGAGAAAATATTTGTATGCTTGCCTATTGATTAATCGGCTGTTTTCTTCTTGCTAACCAAATTTTTAAATAAAATGCCAATTGTTACTTCTTTAATAATGTTACTGTTATGCCAATTGTTACTTATTCATCACCAACTTTGTTTTCTTTATTTTCTCTTGTTTATTCATCAAAGTTTACAGTATTTTTATGTTCTTTTACCAATAATATAATACAAAGATTATGTAGGTGTTTCAAGTTTTCTATGTTTACTACTAAACAAGATGTTCTGAACTAAAATTGTGACACAGTACGCACGGTATCTCACTTAATGAGGAGGAAGCGAAATTTATTCAGTCAAAACAATTTATTGAATAAATTTATAGACAAGTTGGCTTACTGGTTACAAGCATATAAGAAAGTCGAAACTCTGTGCTTATAGTTCAGCAATCTATTACGGGAAACCTTGTACCGAGAAAAGAAGAAACTGTAAGAAAGGAACCGGTAAGAAACTGCAAGGGCTGCTTTTGCACCCTGTTTAATTTCGTACTGAAAAATAAAAAATGACTTCATTGGACCAAAATATCACTTTCCACCAAAACAATAAAAAATATATAACAGACAAAAAAAAGCATAATAATTCATTCGTCAATCGACTCATTAAAAGCTTATTATAGTTACCGTGGTAGTTATCTTGGACAGTGGTCACACTTCCCGTGGATGCAAAATTAAACTTATGTTAAAAAAACTATTTAATTATAATTGTAAAATGTCAACTTGACAATATATATGGAAATAATTATAAAACACGATTGATATTATTGTAAAACTTTTAAGATATATATTTTGGTACTATAGTTCTTAAAACTATGTAAAATTGGCTATATTATAGGAAAAAGAAACATATTTATCGAGGTACAATCATATTATAAAATTATATTATTAAATTAAATTAAATAATATAAATGTGAAAGTTTGTAAGGATGGATGTTGGTTACTCTCATGTAAAAACTACTGAACGGATTTTGATAAAATTTGGAATACGAATAATCTTTTACCCGTGGGAAGCGCCATCATACGCTGTAGCGCTACCATGAGTTGCTATCGTAAATTCTCATTACTTTACCGCAGTCGATAGCGAATAAACGCACTTCGAATAGTATTCGATAGAAGTTGTACCATGAGTCACATTTACATTTACTATACTCGCTAACGTTAACTCGAACATTCGAATAGTTTTTGTTACGTGACCATGTATTGCGCCTAACTTCACTCCAAATGAAATTGTCTCGTTCTATTTATGCTGAATAGAGTGAGAAAGGATGACTTTGGGCAAAAAAACTGGCTATTTAGATCTTCAAATTTAAATGTAGATAAAACCCTACTAATTTTAAGCGTCATTGATCAGTCTCATAACGTGAAGTGTAACTGATTATTAAATTTATTCGGTTATTTCCGTGTTGAGACAAATCATTGTGTATTTCTGTTTCTTAACTGGCGGTTGTTTTGGTAAATTGTGTATAATACCTAAACATTAAATGCGGACTAGTGTATCACAAATACAGTTATTGGTTGAGTATATGGAAAGGAATGAACTTCAATACGTTTCTATTATATTATTTAATACGTAGGATATACTTTGTACAGTAAAATGTAGTCCTCCAGTTTTTTAGATGAAATATTTGTTTAAGTGTTCAGATAAAGTTAAGGAATGCTGAGTGCTCTTTATTTGGTTAAGGTAAATTTAACGCGGGACTTTAATAATATAATACATTGTTTTTTGTTATTTATCAAACATAAAACTTTTAAAATAGACGCAGTTTATGAAATTTTTTAAATATAGTAAGAATATACAACCTAATCCAATGCTATCAGATCTAACCCGGTTACATTCATTTATTTATTTTCGTTGTTATCTATATCACGTATCCCTTTTTAATGTTTTAACAGAAATGGTGACCTTAGTAAACCCACCGAAGGACCACACGGAAGAGTCGCCAATGTTCAAAACACTCCTTATTAAGCCATAAGCCGCTTCAAATTTTCTCTGTTCTCGTCGTTTGTCTTCATATGCAGCTTATGATAACATATTCTACGCAAGATAATGCCTAGTACACATTATTTGGGTCAATAATAACTGAAAATAATCTATTAAACAATACTCTAAAAAGAGTAATAAGTTTTCACGCTACGTTTTGCAAGTGAGAGAGTTAACTACAGTCGCTACGGTATTTCTCGATGACGTTTATCAAATTTGTAACTCATGGTACCGATGTTCTATGGGATAAGCTACGAAACGTAAAAAACGTTAGTCGCTAGCGATTGACTTTCGATAGGTAAATTTACTATAGGACTCATACTAGCAATCTTTAGTTTCCCAAGTGACCGCTAGGAGCGCTGTATAGTTCTCCATACAAATCATTTACGCAGTCGCTAGCGAGTACGGTCATTGTAAACTCATGGTAACGCTACTGGTAACATATGTTATATTTACTATAGTGACGCAACGGAGTCGCAAGAACAAAGAACGCAAGAAATTTTAGATGTCCAACAAAATACGAGCAAAAGATTACTTAATGATTTATAAATAATTGATAAATTCACGCCACTTTTAAAAAAATAGTATTTTCTTGATACTGGCGTGAATTTTTCAATTTAATTAATAATAATCATAAATAGGATTGGTACGTAAGTGTGAAATGAATAGAAGTGTAATAGGTAATAGTTTAGCCATGCCCCTAACAATGAAAATTATATTATATTATTTAATAAGTAGTAGTATTGTAGCAGTTTCACGAAATACTAACTTTTATTTAATATGACTTCAATGTCGATACAAATATCGATATCTTGGGTCACGCCCTATGACAATCCGCCATCGAAGAATTTGCATTTGAAGTTTAGGCATATACGCTTTTTTCGTAGGTATGGCCGGTCCTCTTCTTTTATGTCTATGGTTTAGTTTGATTTTTTTTGTTCATTTGTCCTCCCCTTGTTTGGAACGGGCAAAGGATGTTAGGTCCATACAGCCCTGTTGTTTAGTTTGGTCATTTGACAGAAATAGACTTTTCATTTAATTTAAGGCTATGAAATTTTGCTCATACAGCCTAGTCTGCACACATATTGTCTGTAATTAGTATTTCAGGTTTATAGAGTTCTTGAATAGAAAAGTGCCCAAAAGAGGTGACGAGGGTTTCAATACTGCTGTTAAAGTTCGCGTCTTAATTAATGAGGAAGTATTTAAAAAAAACGAAAGCACTAAACACCTCCACTAGATGGTGAATCTAGCAAAAGTAAATTTTTGCAGGAAACGAATAGACCAAAGACAGTCATTTCCATTCCTTTTAACTACATATTAAAAAACTGAAATTTGAAAAGTTCGAAACTTAGATATCAATACAAATACGAAAAAGTACAAATAAAATATGAGTTGTTTATTAAGTTTTGAAAACTAATTTATTTTTAAATATGAAAGAAAACCGGAAGGGTTGTCATGGAGAAATCAAGAACGTACCGTAGCGACATCCAGTTTGATTTCGGGAACGAATGTTTTTTTTTAAATACTTGCTCATTGTTTTACTATTTTACGGGGTTACCGATATGCATGAAACTTTGATGTAATAGGTAATGTTTGAAATAGGTAAAGGTGTAACTATGTAAGAGCAGTAGATGATACCTAAGCTTTTGAGGACCAATATGAATGAATTAATTTTTTTTGTGATTGAAAGACTAGTGAATTTTCGGTCTTTGGAGTGTCTTACTTAATACTCTATGCTATGGTATCCAGTGCATTAAACTTCATCAAGGACATGTGACTAAAAGGCGCAAAACATAACGAGGCAGTATTAAAAAAAACATTAGTTCCCAAAATCAAACTAGATGTCGTTACGGTACTTTCTTGATTTCTCCATGATAACCCTTCTGGTTTTTTTTTGTGTATAAAAGTAAATTAATTTTCAAAACTCAATGAACAACTTATATTCTATTTGTACTTTTTCGTATTTATATCTAAGTTTCGAACTTTGCAAATCAAATTTTCTCAATACGTTAGTTAAAAGGAATGGATATGACCATCTTTGGATCAACTTTTGATGGAGTCGCCATCTAGTGAAATGCTTTTTAGTGCTATTTTTTCTTAAAATACTTCCTCATTAAACTTTGAGTGCGGACGACACTGATTTTATGCGGTCATGATTGTCAAAAGGTCATTCAAAATAGTCCAAGTTTAAGGGCAGTCAAGCTTAAATTTCGGCAAGAAGCCTTTTTTGAACTTCTGTCTACACTAAAGCTTAAAGAGCTTTCATATTTTCAGTATCGATATTATTTACTTTTTTTAGTACTTATTTATTTAGACTAAATTCAACAATGAATTACATTATAATAAATAATTTTATTTATATGCGAGAGTTGTTTTATTGATCCAATCCGTATAGTGGGCAAGATTTGTGTAAACTCCCGGATAGTAATTATGTCCACACGAGTAACCGAAAGAAACTAATCCAATAACAATTCCTTTATGAATTAGTGGTCCTCCAGAATCACCAACACAAGCATCCAGACCGCCGACGTCCATCATACCAGCACATATCATCCCATCATCTATAACCGCCTGTTTGGTCTTGTATCGTTCAACACACGTGTTTCTGTTTATTATGAATACAAATGTGTAGTGAAGTTGGTCGGGTTGAGCTCCGTTGAACTGAAATTATAAATTAGTCTTAAGAGTAATTTTTTTAAGTAGTTTAGGTTTTGTCGTTAGACGTAATAATTCAATAATTTTACCTCTTTAGCACCCCAGCCTGCAACGACGCATCCTGAATAAGGCTTGACACTAAGACCTTTTTGTATTATCTTGCTTTGTTTAACGTTCATATTGGATTTAATTGGTTTGTCCACAACTACCACAGCTATGTCGTTGAAATAATAACTTTTATTGAAGCCTTCATGAGGTATGATGTTCTTCAAGTTATATAAACTACCACCTCCGGTACGAAAGGAGGAACCAAGCCTAACTTTCCAGTATTTTGGCAGGGCATAACTGAAACAAAAAGGTCTCGTTTTAAAAAGTCATTAGACAAATAAATGCTGGGGAGAGAGAGAGAGAAGAAGAGAAATTCGAAACTTTATAAGAATTATAAATAAAGTACCCAAGTATATTTTTAATTCCCACAACAAGGCATTTGAATTACATAAATTCAATGATGTTTATATTAACTGACAGAAATTAATTAGGATCGTTACCAAAAAGGTGCAAACAATAAAGGAGGGTTTCTCTTTGTATACAAAGTTCTATAATGAGATAAAAGAAATTAGAAAGTAATTACCTACATAACTAGTTTAAAATAATTTCAACTTACTTCCTTCCAGAAATTGCGTCGAATTGGAAGCAATGTGCAGTAGATATCAAGTGACGTGATGTCACGATAACTCCGGCGCAATGCTGGGCGTATTGTAAGCTGCCTGCCCACATATCTTGCTGCCGCAGCATCTGACCTATTATGGGATATTGATCTATTGTTGTGGGATATCCTCCAACGATTCTCGTGAATTGTGCTGGCACTGTAAATAAGGAATGTGAAACTTAGTGTTTTACTGATAATACAAAGTTCTGAAGAACTGAAGCTACATATAAAAACAATATTTGAGTCTGCAAACAAGCTAATATTGAGTTAATCTCAATATTATTTTTAAAATAGTATTGAATTCTCTTAAACTAAACCAACGCTTTGGCTTCGTGATAATTTCCGTTTGTTGGACTATAGAATATTAACAGTCCGATTTTATTAGAAGTTTCATAAATATATCAACCGCCTTTAAGATTATTATTATTTTTGAAATATACATAGGTTAACTATCTGAACTGCGAATTTGCGGAGAAATCGGTAAACATAGAGTTGAACATAGAACCTCCTCCTCTTGTTTGCAATGTTGCAGACGTATAAAAATGTATATCAGTATTATCATGATGCTTACCTTCATTAATAATAAAGACCGCAACTAAAAACAACAACTGTATATACACTGAAATATATTTTGTTAACATTTTTCGAAGACAGTGCACCGATAACTGAGAATCTATCACCACTACCGCACTCTTTACCAATTAGACTCCATGCCATACTTTCCTGAGATTTAATTAAGCTTAACCTGATTAATAAGTTCAGGTAGTCGTTTGCAAATAAAGGTGTCGTAACTCATTGTCTTAAGCTTCATATTTCCATGGCATCGATGAGTGTTTACGATGGTGCTATTTAATATGTTGATTCTTAGCGGCATATTTAATGTAGATCGACTATAATGTCTTGATACAAACAGTCATAAGATAACTCAGTATAAGGAAAAGTGTACTGCATAGTCGTTTAGATCTTATCATAAGGTCTAATTATAATGTTTGGTATTTGAGTATCAATTTTCTCATTTATGTCTGCATTCTTATAAGTTGGGTGTATGACATCTATAATATAATAATATAAACACGTAAGATTTGAATGTTTGTTTGCATAAAAGTATTGCTCGGAAACTACTGGACCGATTTGAAAAATTCTTTCATATATGAGAAGTTACATTATACACGAGTGACATAGGCTATAATTTACGTAGGCGAAGTCGTGGGAATATAGATGATAAAGTATAGTTATACAAAAACAAGGTGTAACTACATCTTGCTAAGAAGATAAATAGAATATACCCTTCTTATTATTACTAAACTGTTTTTGTTTGGTTTTCATTAGTGACTATTATATATCATTTCAGTTTATTTGTGATGTTTTAGAAAATGAAATGTATTATTTAAAAAAAAATTAAGATTCCGTACAGATAATATATAAAAGGTGAAAGCGTGGCGTTTCTTTAACATAATATTGAACACAGTTAATAGGGATGATGACTAATTTTTGTTTGTTTGTCGGTCAGGTAGAGTGTTATAAATTTTAAACACGAATTTTTTTTTCGTAATCATAAAATAACGCCGTTACATTGAGTACGTTTTCTATTCAACTGTGACGTAGCGAGTCCCCACTCCTCAACTTTAATGCCTGTTATCTATACTATTTCTTGATAAATTGAAGTAAAAAAATTTACGTATCTAATATTTTTCTATTATCTGACTGACGGACTAAATAGAATTGCATTTTTTTACCCAGTCATCATCCCTATTATGTTCTTACGATACTAGTTATTCAACCTATTTCGCATCCATGATTTCATTTATCAGATAGTTCTTAAACTATATATATCTTATAATAGGTAACATAAATCATAAGTTAGGCAGTATTTATTGCAAACATAATGAATCAAAACGTCTCTGAGAGGAGACTCACTCGGTGTTATGGCCTATTATTCATAATGCTCACTATATCTGTTATTTGTATTGCTATTCCTCACAATTATTGGCAGTCCACCTTAGATATCTGTCCAAGTATAGACCTGGAAAACAATAACTGTACCTGTATTTTCTTTGATGCTAGTACTTCATAGTACTTTAATGGTGGTCACTCAACATACTGTCTTTATGCAATTTTTGCACCATTACCAATTATCGCTTATTCAAACATAATAGCTTTGTTTCATATGTAAAGAGTAAGTAAAAATTATATTGGCAAGTTTGGGGATGAACAATCTACGACTATAAGGAAATTAAAGGTGAAGCTATAGTAGCGACTTCTAGAACAAGGATAAGCAACAATATGACGTTGTCATATAGGTATTGTTGAGATCCAACTTCAAGCCTCGCAACCATATTTTCTATTTACAATATGATTCATGCAGCTAATATAACACATGGATTTTTGAGGACTTGTAGCCAATATAGGGCTTATATAGCAAGAGAACTCCATGCTTCTGGGGATCATGTTTCAGTCATTCATTTTCGATTGAGTTGCCAAAGTATTTTCGACTTTATGGACTATTTGCAGAATGATGCACCAAAATGTTGCCGAGGTGATTTCATCAATACTGAAATCAAATGAACTTAGTATTTGGGCTCAATTTCATGCTAAATTTGTCTGAAGATTTAAATAATTTAAAGGAGTTGCTTCCTGTATCAGAAATGAAGTTTGTATTGACCATGTTCAGGCTCCTACCTACAGATTTAAGACATTCTTAGTGCTATAACATTGATACAATGAAGAGACTAAATGTAATGTTCTATTTCAAAATTTGATAAGACTTTAGCGTAATCGAGCCTCCACCGATTATTTTATTCCAATTTATTAATTTGTGTATGATATGAAGGTAAATACTAAGATACAACCTACAGTGACATATTTTTATTAGGGTATTTATGAGTTTAAAATTACTCGACAATCATAGGTACATTCAAGTTTTTGGATGAGATTTTATAATAGGTATTAATAATTATTTGAACCAGATAATTTAAATATAAACTATCGTCTAAATAAAAGAAATATTTACTTTATAAGTAACCAGACTTTATATGTATTACTTATATGATAAGTAGCTTCAATTAAATTTTAATATAATATACGAAGTACTCGTATGTAGGTAATTCTTATTTTTTCATTGTAGTGCGGACAAATAATTATAGAAGTATTTTTGGAAAAGAACTTACATACTAGGAAACTTTCAAATTAGATATTAATTATCGTCGTTAATTTTTTGTCTTCTTTCATTGGGTTGAAATCAAAGACTTGAAGTCCAAGTATCAAGTAACTCCCATCGTACTAGAAAAACAGTCTTGTAAAAATAAATTAGCAGTTAGAATGTTATAAGACCATCAATCATTGGTAGGTACTTATACGAATTGTTGATCTGTTTACTAGTTTGCGTTAGTGAACAAATCTCATTACAATGCTTTACGATGATATATTAATGATTAAGAAAAATAAATAGAACCGACTTTAAAGTTTAAAAAAGTAATAAATAAAACTTATCTCAAAAGCGATTTATTCAAGAAAATGCTATTGTAGTCGGGCGGCTATCACTTAATTAATAAATCTATAAAAGACTTCCGCCCGATTTCAATAGCATTTTCTTGTAACAGTCACTTTTGAGATAAGTATTATTTACCACTTTTTTAAAGATTAAAGTCGGTTCTATTTTTATTTAATACTTTTTAGTGAAACTGATAATTTTTATATAAAAGGTACCAAAAAAAAAGAATGTCTATTTATTAACATAGTGAAAGTCTTAGAATATATAATTTTGTTTATTTGCTCGACATATATTTTTTTATATTATACTCATATTATAATTGCTAGTTTGCTTGCATTGGATGGGCTTCGAAACTATGGGACCGATTTATAAGTCTTTCACCTACAGGAAGCTACATAGGCTATAATTTACACAGGCGAAGTCGCGGGGAAACAGTTAGTTTGATAGAAATTGGTTCACAATTCAAGAAGAAATTGATTGACATACTTACTGAAAAATCCACCCCGTCCCAGGCACTCTGAGATGGGACACGAACCCACGACCTTTCACAATCCGGGTGACCGCTCCAACCACCGAGCTGCCCAGGACCTAACAGGACTGACGAACCCTTCGTGTCTGGGACGGGACAGAATATTTGACATACGTAGCTACTTTCATAAAAATGGCAATCTTTTGTTTTTTAGCTGAAATACAATATATATCATATAAATATTTGATTTATTTTTTATTGTGTAATTTACCACACAATAAATTCTTATTTTGAAACAAACTGTATCTATAATTGTAGACTATAGGTAATCTAACATAAGCTGATGTGCTGATGTACCTTACATTACTGTATTAAAAACTGTTTTAGAGATCCGTACCCAAACGGTAAAACGGGTAACCAATTACTAAGACTATGCTGTCTGTTTATCAGTTCGTTTTTAAGTCATTTATTTAGAGTAAGCTTTTTCTTATGTTATTCCATAAGTTGAAAAAAGTTAATCAAACAAAAAAGTATAATTTCAATCCAATGTCTAATTTACGAGAAATAGGTACGTTGTGAAACATATAGACACACATACATAATATACACCTACAAAATACAGCACACGTATTTATAAATGCATATAGATTAACATATATAAATATTGAGCTATATTGTATCAAAAGATTACATAGGTATACTTATACATCAAATTGATAAACTCATTTTTTTTAAGGTCGGTTATAAATGTACAGGCCAAATCGAGAAGTTCTTCTTTGAAGTCGGTTAATGGCTTACACAGGTTAACAAACGGCCGCCTTTTTCAAAGTTGGTCAAATAGAAGGTAATCAATTAATTTAACTCCTTTTATAAGTAGCTTTAATTTTAATAGTCAATATCTACAAACAATTAAAGTGTCCTTAAGTTGAAATCTAAACAATTAGACAAAAAAATAATCATTGCAATCCAACGTCTAGTTTGCGAGCTATCGGTGAACAAATATACATACATTTATAAAAATTTGCACTCGTGTTTAGACACTTAAAAAAATACAGAAAAGCCCATACAGACATATATGAATATTGCACCATTCCAACGAAATTACATACATACGAGTACACTTGATATGATAACCTCCTTTTTGAAGTCGGTTAAAAAGAAAATATTAACTCAGCACCTTAGAATTTCGCTCCGGCTGCATTTGCAGACGTTTTATCAATTCACACGGGGCCTTGTGGTGGGTTATAGTCTGTCCCGTGGTAATATCAATAGTAGGCTGAAGATGATGATCTGTTCAAGTCACTCACAGCGCACTTTGCGGATGGCCAAAAAATATACGAATCCATCGTTACGATAGATCTGAAGAAAATCATAACGATCCATCGCGTCGTATTGCCTCTCAACACACGAAACGATTGGTCGTTGTGATCAGGATCATACTGTCTAATTCCTCCACTTGATTATAAACCTTAACAAATCCACAGTAGTGTTCATAATCAATTGAGGAAATTTGACATATTGTTGTGTAAGTATGTCCCCTTCAGGTCTAATATCTAACATCTCGATGACACATTCCATGTAGGTGAAAAGTGACGTCTTTTTTTTTCGGCTCTCAACCTTAGGGGTTCGTACTTCGTAGCCACCCTCCCAACGGGGGAAGGAGGCGGTGAATCCTTCATTGGATACCACACAGCCGGCAGTGAGGTTATGTCAGACTCCTACTGACTAAACACCGCCTTGGACAGCTGGTTACATGCCCGGAGGCAACGAACCTTCGACCGGAGCGACCGCATCCCCGCGGGGGGAGGGGGGGCGCAGACGTCACTATTCACCTACGTGAATTGTGACATCGAGATGTTAGCCGTTAGCACCGGGGGGGCTCGGCTCATCAGATTGTAATACAGCTGATTCCCTGAAGGGGAACGATCAGCCAGATCGGACGGGGGTAAAGAGTGACGTCTGCGCCGATCGTTCCGGTCGAAGGTTCGTTGCCCCTTCATGGCACGCAACCAACTGTCCAAGGCGGTGTTTAGTCAGTAGGAGTTTGATATAACCTCACAGCCGGTTGAGTATTATCCAATGAAGGATTCACCGTCTCCTTTCCACGTTGGGAAGGTGGTTCCGAATCTCTAAGGTTGAGAGCCGAAAAAAATAATAAAACAAAGCATTATCATTCTGAGGGCTGGCCGCAGTCACTCTACCACAGTGCAGGACGCTGCGCTCGTATTTTGTTTCATATTTTCGATATCGAAACGAAATAGGATTATATAGTTTAGTTGTAAAATTTGTTACTGTATATTAACTGAATTTATATGATTCTACGATATTATATAAGGATTCTTAAATAGAGGACCTTAGATTATATAATATCGATTCTACATTGTTTGAGTATACTAAAATTTCTAAAAACAATGAGTTTAGAATATATTCGTTTTGTTCTTAATTGCAATAAAGATAATTGACTTATGTAGATTAAAAATCTTGATGTCAATAGGAAAGTAAATGCATACATGCTATAAAATAAAACTGGCAAAGTGTGAGTCGGGCTAGCACATGAAGGGTTCCGTGTGTAGTATGGGCCAACTTGAAATATTGATTTATTGTTTTTTTTGTATTTGTTGTTACTGCGGCAACAGAAATAGATTGTATGTGAAAATTTCAACTGTCTATTTATCACAGTTCATTAGATACAGCTTGAGGACAAACAAGATGGACGAACGGATAGCGGAGTCTTACTTTATTACTAAGGCCCGTTTTACGAGAGTAAGAGAGAGGGTAGGGAATCTTAAAAATATATAAGAAACAACATTTAAGTAAACTGTCTATGTGGGACCAAATTGCAAGCTCAACTGAAAGTCCATTAGGAAGTTAGGATATTAATAATATCACTATGAATATAATACATTGCAATTTTATTCAACAAATTAACAAAATATATACTTACTTATAATATTTGATAACTTTTGCATTCACAATGCTATTTTAATGTGTACCCTAAAGAAAAATGTTTAAATAATCCACCTTATTGATTTACTTGTTCAAAATGATGATAATTTAAATTTAAAGAATTTTCAAATTTCTGTAACTATATGGTGTCTAGTTTCAACTTAATAAATCTCTCTCTCTCTCTCTCTCTCTCACTTGTTTGTATATTATTATTTTTTATTCTTGTATATTTGTTGTTATTTAAATTATTTGTTCTACTTCCACATACGCTTGTTAGTTGTTTTATTACACATTATTAATTAATATTGTAATTACTAACTTCTTAATGACATAGTCTAAGTAAATGTTGTTGTACTCTAAGTAGGTTTATTTGAATATACTTTTATTTTACTCAGTTTTCTCATCTGCCATCAAGAACTTGGGATTGGTGAATTTTTTAAGCATTTTTCTTTAAAATAAATACTCTACTATCTACATATATTCACAAACATCTAAAAATATTCAGGTAGAATTAATAGGTAATTTTTGATGTTTTATGCGATTGGATCGATGGTTCTTATTACTATTTGACTAGTTAACTAAATATTCCTTTTCTTCTAATCATAGCCTGTATTTGCTGGTCTATACTTGTGTAATATTTCATTCTTATTAATAGCTTCTTAACTCTTTTCATATCACCATCAAAGAATGCTCGAGAAACTAGTTTTTGCAAGTCACTAATTTTAGCCTTATTTTCTTTATTTAATTTCATGATTTCTTCATCAGTTTCTGCATTTTCTACTTCTTCATTTTTCTCCATAATTTCCATTAAGAAAGCTTGGTCGCCGACTTCTGAGTTTTCAGGTATTTCTTGACCTCTTAGTTTCAACATATAAATACCTGAAATTGCAATTGGAAATTGAGTATTGATAAAGTAGAATTTAAAATATAAATTATTATTTATCACATGTACATACATATCACACTCATAATGCAATAGTAATGACTATAATCTATATTAATTCTATCATTTGTCATAGAAAAGTAAGTGATTAACAACTTTAATGTTTATTCTGAAAAATTATATAATATTTTGAGTTACAGCACCATTTTATTATTAGTGTAATATTTAAAAAAAAACAATGACAAGTATTTGTTTGCTTATTACATAAAACAATATATTAATCCACTGCACCTGCAAAATCTTCATATTTAGTAATAATTTTAAATAAAAACAACAATTGAAGTATAGGTTCTGACCATGTAATAGACAAAATGTCAAAATTGGGATTACCAGATACACAAACCTGTCTTATACAATCTAATTTAAAGATAAGGTTTGCTTACCTCTTGCTAATGGTTCTAACAATGTTTTATAAGCCTCATTAACTAAAGAGGAGTACTTTTCTGATATTTCTTGTTCTGTTTTGTTCCTGTGATTAAAATATAATTTTAATTTACATTTTTCAATTTAAAAACCATTGCAATTAATAATTTTCAAGGTTTATATACTCACTTGTTTGCGAACTTATCAGGGTGAAGGTATTTTTGCAATTCCTTATATTTTTTGGCTAGTTCCGTTTCATCTTGGTCGTACGTTTCATTCACACCCATGATTTTGAAGAAGTTATCACGTTCATTAGGTTTTTGTAATGTATTACAATTTGAACAGAATAAGTTAGACACCATTTTCAAATTATTACCACATGACCAGCATGAGAGTGATCGTATTTGATGAAGAAATCTATTTCTAAATGTACTAGTAATGAAAACATTTCTGAGACTCATAATTTCGACGATACTATACTATAGTGTGAATTGATAAGGTTGAAATGTTCTTTGGATACAAAAACACTTGAAATCTCGTGGGCTATGGCCTCCTTTAATTTATTTGCCTTTGGTCTTTTTCAGTTCAGATTCAGTACCTTAACTCTATGTTCAGTACCAACAAAAAATTAATGCAAAAGCAAAATTAAATTTTATTTATCATTTTTAAGTGTTGCGTGACAGTGACAGCGAACCATCAGCTGTTTCCCTTCAAAATAAGCCCCCCGCTTCAGGGGGGGGGGGGTTTGCCCGCCTAAACGCTAGTTTTTTACTTACTCTATGGTTTCTAAAGCGGAAATAAACGTTTTTTTTTCAAGCATTCATGATCGCCACTCGATGTGACTCCAAATGATTTAAGAGCCATATTACATGTCATCGGTGGTTTTAAGCAAAATGGATTTAAGCGTTCTTCATCTCGGCAACAGAAATATATGGAGATTCCACGCCATTCCGGTGTGGTGGGCAATGAGACAGTTAATTTAACAGTTAATTGCAAAAGAAGCAGCTAATATTAGTAATACTTCCCATCCCGATGTTTTCTCCTATGACCTAATTTCCTTGACAGTCAAACGGAGTTTATGTTCATGGAATTCATGAAAAGGTAGGAAAATTTTACGCCAATATTCAAGATACCGTCCCTCCTAAAACGTGGTTTTGTAAGTTTAAAAAAACATCTAGGATATGTACACGCACGATGTGTCTTCTCCGGTTAGGGGACGCAAACACTTCCGTTTTCTACAAAATTAGGATCAAAGACAGCTCACTTTTTGAATGCGGGTTGGACGTAGGAACAGTCATCCATATTTATTTCAATTGTCCTAAATATCCCTCCTCCTTGTATGACGTCTTTCTCTGGTATATTCCCAAACCTACAAATTTTAAAAACGTCTTAAGATAATGTTAACTCCCCTTTTGTAATCATCTTATGTAATTATATTAAGAGTAATAACATACGTCTTTGATTTGTCTTACTAACATACAAAAAGCAGAGTTTATAAGGTATTAAATGAGCAATAAACTGAGCGAAACACTAGAGGTGAAATCCACAAGGGCAACGCCATTAATTAAAAAGAAGAAGAAAAAGTAGGGGCGGAGGTAGGATTTTTTACTGTAGCCAATGCTTGAATAAAAAAAAAAACAGATTTTTTTTAAACTGGAGTGAAAAACAATAAATACAAACAAATAATTTAATTTTTACCATTGACCCATTGTGCACTAATTCGATTCGTAGTAAGTTTTCAAAATATAAATAAAAGTTCTGCAATACAGTAAAATGGTGTCTTATTTCACGATAGATGCTTCGAGCGAGGTGACTAACTTTCAAAAGGAGATATCCAATATGATGCACGGTTTCGGAGATAATCCGAACCCGAATGCTGCAACTGTAGTATTAGTAGAAAATATTGTGTTACAGCAGGTTCGCAGCATGTTACAGGAAGCTTATAACTATTCAAACATGAGAGGAGGTAAAGCTATAACTAATTACGATATAATTTACTTGATGCGCAAGAATACATTAAAACTAAAAAGACTGTATGAATATCAACTAAAATTAGAAAAAATCGACAACAATCGTGCTACGGTTTCTGGTCCCGATCCAATGATGTCTGGCATCTTAATAGAAGACGAAAAAGCACCTACAATAAAGAAAAAGAGGACGCACATTGACGTTATTAAAGAGTTAGATGAAACCGATGAAGTAAGTGAAATAAAATTTGATGTTATAGACTATTTGCGTAAGGTTAGAGCAGCAAAAATCACAGAATCAATGACATTTGAAAAGTATGAAGCTTACCATAAAGCGAGATGTAGTTCTTTCCGTTCAGGAGCAAGTTTTACAAAAAGTTTTCATAAATTAGAGAAATGGATAAATCCTAATAAGGATTTAAAAATAACGAATCCAGCTTTGGAAGTGTTGTGTTTCTTGGCATATGAGACGGTAGCAGAAATTGTTGAAGCCGTTTTTTTGATTCGTCAAGATGCAAAAAAGAAAAGTGGTGATCCTTTCAGTAAATTTGAGGGTGGTTATTTTTGTAATCCAGTGAGCTTGAACAATGCTGTGTACATAAAATCTGGATATGAAGGAGTGCCAGCTATAACAGTAGCCGAAGTCAGAGAAGCTTTAAGGAGATATTTTAACCCCCGAGTGGGCATGAATGGTTTATTTTACAGAAACATGAACAATGATTTACCTGTAAGATATATTGCTATTTGAACATAGTATTTTGATATATCTAGTCCTTAACAAAATTGTTATTTGTAGATATTTAATAAGTTGTTAATAAATGTAAGTGATTACTTTAATTGATTTTGTTATTTGACTGATCTTAAAAAAAAATCATTGTTAGTAATTTGATTTTTGCAATTGAAGAGTTAAATTCTTATATTTCAAGCTTATGAAGTTATTCTTTAATTGTCTTAAAAACTAATATCATAAAAGCGAAAGCAATGCAACTATTAAACTTTAAATGAAATTTGGTACAGAAATAGTTTAGAACCCCAGGACTGGAAATAGACTTCTTTTTATAGGCTGTAAGGAGTTTAAAAAGGGGATTAAAGTTTGTATCAAATTCTGTAATTTTTAAAGCTTTGTGGCAAGTGTTTCTACCCGATTCCTAGTTGGGTTAATGTAGAAAATTGAACTCTTCTATTTTCTACATTAACTTAACATTGTCTCTGGTCTGGTTTATGTGGTATGTTTGTTGTTTCAGATTTTTATAATTTGGGATCTGAGCAATGCATTGATGTTGTTTAGTATTTATATAATTTATAATTATATGTAGGGTAGGTGCACTGCTACTGATGCTACAAACCGTTGAAGAAATATTTGGAAAGAAATTTTGATGTTATGACACAATTATTTCAACAATCTTTGTATTCCTTACTTACCATTTTTCTTAATCAGGCCTTCCTTATGGATGGTAAAGGAGGACGGGCCATGGCCCTCCATGCTGGCACGCGATCGTTGTTAAGCATTTTTCGCAAGGGTTAGTCGGGGGACGGGTGACCAAACAAAAATATTATTATTTCGAGCTACTCCGTGCTTCAGAAGGCAGGCCCTGGCTGCATTTGCAGTCATTGATACCCTCCAATCCGCATTTCTCTTTTTACCTGGCTATAAAGTATATTATTAAAATGTGACAAGTCGCAATCTGCCTAGTGTGAAGCAGGTTGTACCAGGATTCAATAAGTCATTGTGTCAGTAGTGAACCAGTAAATGAAAGAAATGCTTTTAATAAACAATAATTTTATATTATTGTATCAGTTTAATGATGACATTAATTGATTTAAATTAGCTTTTTCAATTCAAATAAGTAGTAATTTTATTATAATTTATAATATACCCGTATATGTAGTTTACTCATAAAGAGGTTACATTAATGGATATAAACGAAGATTTTAAAAGAATAAAGTAAATTACGCATACTTAAATACTAAAATGGCAGCTTGGATCGAAATAAACGAGTTCCCTTTGGTTTATGTTATGCGGATGGCGTGTGTATAGCTTTAGTTGTGACATGGCAGAAGTATAGCTGGCAAACGTGAAAAAAAGACGGGGAATGTAAAAAGAACATCAACATTTACATTTGGATATTGAATTGATGTTCATACGGCTGCACATCAGGTTACCACAAAACCTATGTCAAGTGGCTCCAGTTGATTTTAAAAATAAAGTGAAGAAAATAGACAGATTTGTAAGTGCTATGATAAATTGTATACTACTTACTGGTATGTACATGACGTGGGACTGAGTTTCATGGTCAATAACATTATTACGGAGTCACAACCATGCATGTCCTCATATTAACCAAGTACCGAGATATTTCGGCGCTTTATGGTCTCAACTCACTCCCAACAACAAAATTATAATTCTATTCTACTAGCTGTTTCTCTACGTAAATTAAAGCCCCGTATTTTGTAGCTTACTGTAGATGAAATAAAAAAAAACGATCCAGTTATTTCGGAGCCTATATATTCCTCTTTGTTATAATAGTATAGATTATTAATATTATGTCCTAATGGATAAGACAACGACGACAAAGTTAAATCATAATATAGTACAACCTTCAGAATAGACTTGTGATTGGGAGATACATTAATGTAGTTTAGTAGGTAAATTAATTTAGACCGCAATTGAGGTTAAAGACAATATCCTTAAAACCCAAGGGAGTAATCAGTGTGCTGAAATTATGTATCTAGGTATGTACCCAGTAATTCAGGTATACGTGTTGTACCTACCTACCAAGGAAATCTGTTGAGACGTTCAGTATAGGTAACATAACTAAAGCCTGTCTCACGAAAAGAGCCCTGCGGCATAACTCTTAATATTTTGTAATGAAAGCGAAAACATTGCGATCCCAGGGACTTCTTTCGTGAGACGAACTCTAAAGGCACTTTACTCATGGCCAGAGTTGCCATGTTCAGCTAGGGTGTCGTCGGGTTTCAGGGCGGGCCGAAATGGGGGCGAACCGCGCGTTATGTGACCTCCGGGCCGATCCCGCGTATCGCCTTCCATGTGAGGGACATCGCTGAGTTTTAGTGGGTAAACTCTTCTTCTTGTCTAGCCCATGGGGGAGTGGGGCCGCAGGAAGAGACCCACATAACCCGTGAAACCCGCGCTGGGTGTAGCGGGCATGAGTAACGCATTCCTCAGCGTCAAAAAAAAAGGGTCTCGTCGGGTTATTCTAGGGAGAAAACGGGTTGGTGGGGAGTAAAAATACTTACACAACTGAGAAAAGTTATTTAGTCTTTGTTTTCTGATCAGTACTTTGGGCATAAATCATTTTCAGAGGTTCTTTTTTGTAAGTCATATTATATTTCACAAAACACTAATATTGACTCCAGTCTCTGGAAGCAGCTCCTCTCTTTTAGTACCTTATAGAATTGTTCATATTCACTGAGTAGGAGATAGCATATTAGTGAGTAAAGTAGTATACATTTTATCACAATTAACAATTTATCACATCACGAATCTATAAACATTGCGTAAAACAAAGTGGCTTCCCGCTGTCTGTACGCTGTGGTCTTTTAATCTACACAAAGGGTTTTAAAATTAATAAAAAAATGAAATTTCATCTATTTTTTTTATGGGATAGGAGGCAGACGAACAGCCAGATCACCTGATGGCAAGTGATTACCGTCGCCCATGGACACCTGCAACACCAGAGGGGCTTCAAGCGCGCTGCCGGCCTTTGAGGGACGAATATGCTCTACGCTTGAAAGTTTGAAGGTCGTATCGGTCCGGAAATACCGCTGGCGACAAACTATTCCAGAGTTTGACTGTGCGAGACAGGAAACTTCTAGAAAAACGCACAGTTGAGGACTTTAAAAAATCAAAATGCGAACTTTCTTTAAGCAAGTAGTTTCTTAAGTTCCTTACGTAGAGGTAAAGTTTAAGAATTATGTTTTACTAAATCGGGCTTTCCAGGCACCAGCCGACGTGTGACGTCACATACGCCCGCCTATGTGACGTCACTGGAAGTTATTTAATAAAATAGCAGTATTCGCTGGCCATGTGAAACTTCGTCTAGAAGCTTTTCGGGAACAGTTGCTTGCAAATTTAATTTTGTCGCGTTGAATTACGACCAGTTTTATTCAATAAACAAACATGCGAGTATGGAGAGTGTAACGAACTCATATAATTATATGCTGTGAATACACTTTTTTTAATAAGTAATAAATGAATATGAGGCTCAAGTTTCAAATAGTTATACTCGTGTTATGGAAATCTGCAACAAGAAAAGTACAATAACAACTAGATTCGAGACACCTAAGTTATACACAAAGTCCAATTTCTACATGGAACCGACCGGGAATCGCACCTGGGACCTCAAGGACAGTGACACCTTGAAATCAGCGTACGAGCCACTTGGCTGCGAACGTCGTTAGTTAAAGTTGATTGTCATAATATTAATTTAGTATGTCGTTCTCATTATCGGCGTATATATGTCATTATTGCAGGAATGTCCATAGGGAAGGCGGTTAATAAGATCACCCTCAGTCCGGGGAGTGTCCGTCCCACATATGTAGTGCGTAACGAATTGTCCGGGTTACCCACCACGTGTAGCTATGTTGTTGGAAAAAAAACCCTCGCATTTGACGTTGATCGCATTGATTGTGTCGCATGCAATAAAACTTTTATTACCTTTTCAAACAGGTTTTACGTGAAAAGATCTCTATGCTTTGACAGCGCTATATTTATTACAGATTAGCATTGCTGGTTAGTGGTTGTAAATGATAATATCAGTGACTTGACGTGACTTCAGAAGCATAAAGGTGCTCGAGGAGCAACTTAACTGAAGTAATATACTCCTTCATATCTTTGATCGGAACATAGATAGGTATCGTTGTTCAAAGGAAGATGTATCGAGCGGGTCAAACGGATCACATGCCGCGTGAATCCATTATCTGGATTTTTAGAGGGTTGTTTCACCAAGTATTGACACCAGAGACATTACAATCAAAGACTGGAATTTAGTAGATATACATATATTGAAAGTACCGAATCGGAGAGTATTGTTTTTATACGATCCTTTATTACTTTTGAAGTAGGATTTATTTGATTGAACCTCAATAACTATGTAGAGTGAAATATTGTATTGGTTCGCCCAGCTCTGGTTATATGAAACTTAGCGCTCTAGGCAAAACAGTGGAACGTCGCCCATAGAAAATCTTATTAAAATAAAATACTAATGTACACTGGTAAAAAAATGTAATTTTGCCATTTTACAAAAGAAACTCCTTAGGAACTAACGAATTGAAAAATTTTTCACTTTTGCATACAGCGGTTAATCTTCCACCATCCTATAAATCTTCTTTGCACGACCAACTCTACCAGTATGTAATAATTTTGGTCTACTGCTGTTTCGTTTCATAGTTATATTTATACATTTTATGTTATATTTAGGCATGTACCTATGCATTTTTAAGCTAGAAATAAATAGAGCAAAAATAATTTATTTGCCATGCCATGCCGCCGCCCAATTATGAGCGCCCTAGGCAGTTGCCTATACGATATTTCACTCTCGTCCCGACAAAAATGACATTTGGTGTAGACAGCGTTTCTCGAGTTTATCATGCTATACATGATACCCTATGCAGGTGTAGATTTTAGCGTTTCTCGAGTTTATCATGCTATGCGTGCAGGCGTAGATTTTCATCGGTTCCGACTGTATAAGTTGATTTTTACTTTTCGGTTTTTATTGAAGAATTGTTCGTTAACAATCCTTTTTTTATTACTTACAATTTTCAGTAATGTATAAATACAAGCTACCTTGAATTAATGATGAGACGTTATTTTTG